GGTGTTAGCTGATAGTTTCTGTTATCCAGTGGAGCTGGGTTTTCAAGCGTGTAAACTCTGGGACCAGCAGATGGGTAAAGGTTACTTCATTAGCATCCCCACATTGTTGATGGAACCCGGCATGTTAAAACTCATGCCTGGCCCTTGTGTGTGGGTGCCCAAAATCTTGAGAGGAGAATGAAGGAGAAGGGACTACAGCATGGCCATCCTCCCGAGAGGTGATTTCTCATTTTCTGTCTCTCTGGCCAATACACATGCCTTATAGCAAAACTCTCTTAAAAAAAAAAAGAAAGAAAAGAAAGAAAAGAATGTAAACTGAGGACTTGCAATGTGTAAGGCATTTCCATTAGAGCAATTTAAAAATTGATCAGACCTTGTGCCCTCTCTCCCTGAGTCCCAGTAAAGACAAATTTGTAAATACTTGCAAATACAAGCAGTACAAATAATTCGATATGAAAAGCTTATACAATATGTGATGGATCGTAGAGAGGAGTGACTTCTAGCCCAGAAAGGAAGATCGTTGAAGGCCTCAAGCTACAGGCTTCATTATCAACTCAAAATGCCTCAAACTGAACTTGAACCCCCCCTTTTTTTCCTTTTTTTTAAGTTGATGCTAAGCACTTGTGCTTGCCTGAAAGAAAGTGACAGATCACACCTGGGGGGGTGGCCATGCCATAACCCCTTCTCCTTTAGTCTCTTCTCAGAATTTCAGGCACACGAGCACATACTCCCGGTATGATTTTTTAGCCTCTTGGTCCGAGTCTCGAACCATGCAGTTGGCCTTGTGGGATCCAGCCCCTTAACCTCCATACCACCTGTTGACCCTGAGCCCCCTTTTGCAGTCTTGCTCTCTTCTGTACTGTGTGCCCTGTTTCAGTGATGCCGTCACCACTCACTCATCTGCCAAGCCTTTTGAGAGTCATGTACACCTCCTCCATGTTCTTGCTTTCCCCCCTACAATCAGGCATCAAGTTCTGCTAAATTTATTTCCTGGATTTTGTTCAAATCTTTTCCCCCTCCCACCTCATGCCTGTAATCATGTCATCTTTTGCTTAGATTGTTGCCAGTCTTCTAACTTGTCTCTCCACCTCCGGTGTCTATCCTTAGTTGTCTTTCTAAGATGAATATCTGAACCATCCTTTGTACCCTTTCATTCAGTGTCTTCCTACTTAGAATCACCTTCCAGCCTCCGTTCGGGAACTCCTCCTCATCCTCCAAGACGCAGTTGAAACCTCTCCTCTGTAAAGTCTTCTCTTATTGCCCCAGAAAAAAGTTAGACGTCAACCACACATTGTGGATGCCTTTGTCAGAACGTTTATCAGGCATTATTGTGTAATTATTTCTGAGCTCTTGGGTAGGAACTAGTTCTGATCTGCTTTTGTATCTATGGGCCTTGGCAGTCAATACATGATTGTTCAAGGACTTCATTCTGATGAGATCAAGGACAAATGCATTCAGGTGGTGACATTTGAGCTGAACCTTGCCGCGGGAGTAGACACGATTATGACTAATTCAATGGCTTCATCCATCT